AATTGATTTCTCAGATTTCTGTAAGTCGTTTTCTCTTCTTATATCTGAATTAAAAGTGCAACTGCTTAGAAGTTCTCACTTGTTGATTTGCTTTTGAAAATCGTTTATAACGTAGTGGATATTGCATCTGCTGCAAAAGAAGTTTCTTTATCAAATACATTACAAAGGTTTTTAAGTGCTGATTCACAAGGATCTATTGAATCTCAACAACAACAACAACCTGATCCAGTTGGACCATTTGCTAAGGAAAGTTCTGGTAAAGAATCGGAACAGGTTCGTGTTTTTTTGGTCTTTTCCTTGATTAAAAAACAATCGAAGTATTGCTTAAGATGCTGATGATTGTGAAATGGGGTTACCTTTTTTGTTTTATAGAATTCTTCGGCTGTTTGGAGTAGATCAATTCCAGTTGAAAGATCAGGTGGTGGTACATAAAGTATCGAAAAAAGGAAAAAACAATCTAGTGATTTTAAATCTTATTATCAATTATATGTATCCTTGACCAGCATTTTTTTTTAGAAACCCCTATTTTTATTTGTTCCCTTTCTCTCTCTTTTTTACTCTCTTTTATTGATTTTATCTTATTGATTTTTTTTTTGGTATTCATTTGATTTTATTATTCTTCATGTTTTAAACACAACAAAAGTAGAGGAGAGTTTTTTGTCTTTCTTGGTTTTGCAAGTTTATGGGTTGGTTGCCTTTTTGGCTGTGAAAAACGGTGGTGGTTTTCTTTTTTTTTTTTTTTGGTTTTTTATGATTTGATTGGATAGCATATCTTCAAGATGTGAGATTCAAGAATCATGTTTCAGGTCAGTATTCATGAATGCGTACCCTAAGAAAACATATTTTGCATATTTGTAGAAAGCTCCGCGGACCCGCTTGAGCATAGGGAGACCAAGATCAGTTATTAATCACCAGGGATCTCTATGTATACTGCTTGCATCCATCATAAGGGTGACTGCTACATTCAATTGCCTTGCAATCTTATTGGGAAACCCCATTTCTCGGTCATCCAAGTCATTGGTTTTGAAGGGCTCACATAGCCAGGTCGAAAATCTTTACAACTTGTGCAAAAAATGTAAATTGAACATTGTATGCGAAGTTTATACAAGAAACAGTGGTTAATACATAACACTTCAAAACATATATGAAGGAAGACTGAGATGCAATCCTGCTATCCAAGGCGGGCTAGTTTATGATACCAATACCTCCTGATTCAATGATCTGAACCACTCAAAATCCAGGTGATGAAAATGTTATTCAGGGTTACTGGATGTGTAAGCAAAGACAGCATCACTACCCAATATCTTGGTCTGAATGTGTCGCAGAAGTGATAGTCTCTGTATGTATTGATCAAGAAAAAAAAATGTTAGTCAAAAGATATCAAGACGAGATCAATACTTACCTGAAGATCAAATCAGCTTACAGAATCAATGTTGGAAGTTTTGACTGTGAGACCTTCACCGACCATGTAGGGTGAGACGGTGACCACCAAGATGTTGAGGATTGGATGATCTCCAGTGTAATTTAAACATGAAGAAATGATTGAAGAACCACCTTCGATCATTAAACGATTGATTCCATTGATTTTACAAACTTCAAAGACTTTTTCTAAATCTAATCCTTGGTTAGCTAAGGAGTCTCCCAAGCATTATTCAAAATGAAGTTCGAATTGGATGAGCTGTTTGAGTGAGTTTGTATTAAGAATCGATAGCAGACGTACAAGGGTTCATTCCGTTTGTGATCGGAATCACTCGAGCTCCAGCTTCCTCTAAACTTTGTCGATCTTGATTAGATATCATACTTCTTGCACAAATCAACCAAGGTTGTTTTCCAGTTTGATTTCGATAATTTTTAATTAATTTACATCAATTGGAGTTCTTAATTTAGTATCA